TAGGGTAAAGGACATTAATTGAGATCCTTCCATGTTCCAGGATTAGTGATGTTTAGTTTTCACTGCCACCAAATATAGATCACTTCAACAGGCTACCTCCTTATATGTGTGGTTTGTATATGAGGCACACAGAGACTTTTGTTTGGTAGGAACAAAGAAATATGCTTATTTATTTTATTTATTACAGGCACAGGAAGCCTAATGGTTGCAGTTTATTGGTACAGAGTGTTGTGGTTTCAGGAGTAGTTCATAGCTTAAGACTTCAGGTTCCAGTCAAACCTTTAAAACCCAAGAAACGTTTAGTCTTCCACTAAACAGTTCCTTAATACAAACAGCCAAACCACCAGGATCTGTTTAAAACAATAGTTCTTCCTCAAAGTAACTATTTAAGAATAAAACACAAGCTGAACTTCCACTTCTTACAGTTCCAAAAACCAGACACCAACTGACTTAAAATGGTTCCTTTTCCTCCTTGCCTCATCTCAGCTCCGCCCACATTCTTCACTGAGTAAATTCCCTCCAAGGCTATTGACCAAACAGGCAGTGCCAATACCCTAAAGGCTGAGGGATGGGATTTTGATAGAATCTATTAGACCAATCAACTATTAGGGGAAGCAAAGGAATTGGACTCACCGGCACCAGCTATTGATTCAAAAACATTTCATCTTAATGATAGCACCAGTTTGCAAAAGGAGTTTCAAATGTCCAATCAAACTGTTGATGAGACAATCACATGCACAACACACTTCTGGAGTGTGTTCAGAATCTAGGACCGTACAGATGGGAAGCTCTGTTCAATGGCGATCCCTGTATTTTGTCAGACTATATTCAAAGAGGGGTGGGAATTGCAAGCCCACATCTTGTTGCACTGCAGCTCCCAAAATTCTTCACACTTCTGGCAAAAGTTGCAGCTCAACAGCATCTGAATGGCTGCACAGTTTCTTTTTCTTCTTTTTTTCTTTTTGCAAATTTCTTTAATTTTCTTCTGTTTGTCTGACCATATTTTTTTTGCTTCTTATAATGTCCATAATATCCAGTTGTATTTGGTTACACACATATTAATACCATTTTCAAGTGTCCATTTCTTTTTATCTTTCCACCCCCAAGCTATTACTGCATGTGCTGCAGGAGTTGGGAAGCATGGTATTCACATCCATGGTGGGCGTGTTAAGAGATACAAAAATTCTGGAATCAAATCTTAAACCAGGTATTTATTTATATCAAATAAAATTTGATATAAATATGCAAATTTTGATAATAGGGATATATGGTGATAGAAGAATTAAGGATCAAGACCAAGAATTAATGATAATGATGTTTAGGCTGCACAGTTTCCATGTTTGCTTTAACACATTTTCCATTTTCATGGTTGTGAAATGAGGAATGCCTCTGTAAAATATTGGGGCCAGCCTATTAGAGATATCCCACCATTATTTTGGATATCCCACCACTGGTATCAAAATGTAAAGGACTGGACAGGGTATAGGAACTTAATTGCGTTCCTACCCTTTTATAGGATTACTGTGATGTTTATTTTCACTGCCACCAATTTAAGGTTACTTCAGTAGGCTACCTCCTAATATGTGTTACTGTATGTGAGGCACACTGAGATGTTTATTTGGTTCAAAGAGGCTTCCATTACAAATAGAAAAAATACCATTTATGCAAAAAATTTCCAGATATAAGTGCCATGTGCATGATATGTTTATAACGTAATTCAAAACTATATAAAATTCACATTTGGTTCATTCCCTCCATTATAAAGTAATGTAGCAAACCCACATTAGCAAGTTTTCATTACAGTTCATTCAAATCATATATTTTTTTCTTTCAAACATCAAGATACTGCTGTGTTGCCTTGGATACTTGATCTTGATCTGCATTTAGGTTTTTTGAAGATCCACCCACTGATCCTATTGGGGAGACTCGAAGAGACCCAGTATCAAGTTCAGCATTTGCTTGGTCTAATTCCTTGGCAATGTTTTTTTCCAATTCCATCTGCATCTTTTCCAAGTAAGCCTCCACTCTGTTTTTTGAGGCTAACGGACTTCCGGTTGGGTTCATAAATTCTCCTCCAAGGCTAAGAGGTCTAGTTAATGCTAAATTGCGCCCAAGATTTCCAAACTGAACTGTTTCTAGACAGGGCTTGTTGAAAGGCTTCCACCTAAAAAGCTGTTGGCAAGTAATGATCTGCTCCTTTTGCGCTCATAAGAGAGTTTGGCATTGGCTTCTGACAATTTCTCCAATTTGCTTCTTAAAGACTTTCTCATTTTTAGTTCTTCTGAGTATAGCTCCTTATATCTTTCCAGTTCTGTATGTGTTGAGTGTTTCTGTAACCCATTGTCTTGCTGACTGTTTTTAAGTTTTGTCAGCTCAGACTCTAAATCACTAATTCTGTTTTCGAGCTGATTTTTCAAGGAAGAATATTGGTGGCTCGTATTTGTTCCAAGGTTTCTTGTGAGGCTGCCTGTGTCTGCAAAAACAAATTGACTTCTTCCAGTTTTTGTCTTACATCTTGTTTAGCTCGCTCTTCAATATCTTTCTTGTATTGTACTACTTGGTTGTGGTCTATCGCATTACCCTGTATGTGGTGTTTGAGATTAGCAACTTCTTCTTCTAGCTGCTGTTTGCTTTTCTCCAATTCATGATTTCTAGATTCCAAGTGGGTTTATTTGTCATGTCAGAGCAACCAGTTCATTATATTACATTTCTAACAGAACAAAGCAAACAAACAGACAAAATAAAAAACTTGTGAGTTTGGTAGTTGGTTAAATGTCCTTTGACCAGTATCTGGCCACTTGGAGTGCTTCTGGTGTTGCTGCAAGAAGGTCCTCCATTGTGCATGTGGCAGGGCTCAGGTTGCATTGCAGCAGGTGGTCAGTGGTTTGCTCTTCTCCACACTCGCAGGATTCCACTTTGTAGCCCCATTTCTGAAGGTTGTCTGCATCTCGTGGTGCCAGAGCGCAGTCTGTTCAGCGCCTTCCAAGTCGCCCAGTCCTCTGTGTGCCCAGGGGGGAGTCTCTCATTTGGTATCAGCCATAGGTTGAGGTTCTGGGTTTGAGCCTGCCACTTTTGGACTCTCGCTTGCTGAGGTGTTCCAGCGAGTGTCTCTGTAGATCTTAGAAAACTATGTCTGATTTAAGTTGTTGATGTGCTGGCTGATACCCAAACAAGGGATGAGCTGGAGATGTCTCTGCCTTGGTCCTTTCACTATTGGCTGCTACTTCCCGGCGGATGTCAGGTGGTGCAATACCGGCTAAGCAGTGTAATTTCTCCAGTGGTGTAGGGCGCAGACACCCTGTGATAACGCGGCATGTCTCATTAAGAGCCACATCTACTGTTTTAGTGTGGTGAGATGTGTTCCACACTGGGCATGCATACTCAGCAGCAGAGTAGCACAGCGCAAGGGCAGATGTCTTCACTGTATCTGGTTGTGATCCCCAGGTTGTGCCAGTCAGCTTTTGTATGATATTGTTTCTGGCACCCACTTTTTGCTTGATGTTCAGGCAGTGCTTCTTGTAGGTAAGAGCACGGTCCAGAGTGACTCCCAGGTATTTGGGTGCGCTGCAATGCTCCAGTGGGATTCCTTCCCAAGTGATCTTCAGAGCTCGGGATGCTTCTCTGTTCTTGAGATGAAAGGCACATGTCTGTGTTTTAGGATGGGATTAGGGATCAGCTGGTTTTCCCTGTAGTAGGCAGTAAGAGCTTCGGAGAGCTTCTGTTCTACCGTCTCAAAGCTCCCTGCTTGAGCAGTAATGGCACGATCATCAGCATAGATGAAACTCTCTGTCCCTTCTGGCAGTGGCTGGTCATTTGTGTAGATGTTGAACATGGATGGAGCAAGCACGCTCCCCTGAGGCAGGCCGTTCTTCTGTTTCCGCCATCTGCTTCTCTGGCCCTGGAACTCAACAAAAAAGCTCCTGTTTTGTAGCAGGTTTCCTATGAGGCGGGTGAGGTGGTAGTTCTTTGTGATATTATACATTTTTCTCAGGAGGAGGCGGTGGTTCACAGTATCATAGGCTGCTGATAAGTCTATGAAGACAGCTCCTGTGATCTGCTGCCTTTCAAAGCCATCTTCTATGTGCTGAGTCAGGTTCAACACTTGCGATGTGCAGCTTTTGCCTTTTCTGAAGCCAGCTTGCTGTGGGATCAGACATGGGTCTATTTTTTCCGTAATTCTATGCAAAATAATTCTCTCCAGAACTTTGTAGAGGTGGCACAACAGGGAGATTGGTCTGTAGCTTTTTGGGTCATTACGGTCTTTGCCTGGCTTCAAGATGGCGATGACTCTTGCTTTCCTCCAGATTTTGGGGATCTGACAGGATGCAGTGCCGTTGTTCATCAGCTCCAGCAGCCAGCGCCTTGCTTTTGGGCCAAAGTTCTTGATTTGTTCCATCCATAGATCATCCAGGCCAGCTGCTTTGCCATTTTTACATTTATTGAGAGTCATGTCCAATTCAGTAGATGTAAAGGGTTCATGAAGGTTGTTGTTCTCAATCTCTGGTTGTCTGGCTATTGGTTTCTTTCCTACTTTGGTGGCAAAGTTGGGTTTCCCATTCTTCAAGAGTTGGTGTGCTATCTGATCTGCCTTTATGTTGGCATGGGTATTAGTTTGTGAGGGGTCGTTGCTCAACCATCTCAGCAGCCTCCACGCCTTCTGGCTGCTCCTGCCCATGTCGACCTCTGTGATCAGCTTGATCCACTGTTCTTTCTTGGCTTCAGAGATGGAGGACACAATGCTCTGTGCTGCCTGAAAGGTTTGCTCACTAAATGGGTCTTCGTTGTGGAGCCTGTAATAGTTTTCCAACAAGGCAGCTGTTTCAGGAGTAATACCTGAAGGTAGTTGGTTCTGCAGCCTCTCGGTATCGAGGCCCGTGAGCAGGTTTTCACGATTTCAATAAAATGCTCTTATTCTTCAGAGATTGGCGCGGCCGATGTGATCATGTCATCTAACATGTCTGAGAATTTAGTCCAATCTGCCTTTCTGAAGTTGAATCTTCGTTTAAATCGAACTTCCTGAGGCCTTATTGTTGGGAACAGTTGGCATACTATTGGTCGGTGCTGTGTGTTTGTGAGTGGTGGTCCTACTGAATTGGTGCATTGCTGTACGATGCAGTCGCTCACAAATAGGAGGTCTGGGTTATAACCTCGGTGCCATCTCCCACTGTTGTAGGATGGTGGGAGCTTGCTATCATGGATAAGTGATAGTTTGTGCAGTTCAGACCAGGAGATGACAGCCTCTCCATTTTTATCCTCTTGAGCATAGCCCCATACATGGCTATGGCTGTTGAAGTCACCAATTACTACCGCCCTTTTGTGCCTAACAAAATTCTCGGGGGAGGAGAAACAGAACTCTTCATTTGGGGGCCTGTACACAGAGGTGATGGTGATGTTATTAAGCTCTACTGTTATAACCTCGATATTGTTTTCTTCAGTGTTGTGGGCACTTCTGACTTGGAGGCCTGGTTTGACAAAGACAGTGTTTCATACTGTGCATGTGGTCTTTCCGCTACTAAGACCATTCCTGGAACTTTGGGTCGTTTCTGTCGTTTCTTGGACACACAGCACATCACATTTCTTATCTCGGCACAGTTCATAGAGCAGTTGTTCTTTGGTAGCTGACATGCCTTCGATGTTGATTGAGATTATTGTCATGGTTGGTCCTGAAAAGGTCCATTGGTTGTTTTGCTTGCTTGCTTGCATGCATGCTGGTCGCTTCTGTGGTGAGAGAATCAGCCGTCTATGAAGACGTTGCCCAGGGGATGCCCGGATGTCTTGCAATCCTGCGAGGAGGCTTCTCTCATGTCCCCCTTCCAAGTGGGTGCATCTTTTTGACTGTGCTTCCAAATTGTGAGAAAGTTCATCTACCTTCGCTCTCAACTTTCCAACTTCGATATCAATGTCTGAATATCTCTTCTTTATTTCTCCAAGAAAGTTAGACTGAGATGAACTCTCTCCACTCTCATACTCCTTTACTTTCTTTTTAGTTGTTTTCAGACGTTTTTTAATCCCATTGCATTTGTTTTGTAATTCACTGTTTCTCTTCATTTCTTCATCTAGTCGTATATCCACTAAATGTTTTAACTACTATCTTCTTCACATTTTTCCTTTCATTCTCTAACTGAGCTGTTAGCTCTGCCTTTTCCCTGTCAAGCTCAGAAAGGTGAATCCCAAGTTTTGATCTTGACTTCAGCTCCTCTTCCCACAAATTATGAGTATCTTGTGCAGTTGCTGAGAGCATAGTTTGCTTCTGTACCTGTTGATTTAGTTGCTCTTCCAAATTGATTTTTGCTGTTTGCAGACCAGTTATCAGTTCCTCAAGATTATTTTGAGCCTTTATATTCTTTGAATTCCTGTCACATAGTTCTTCTGTAATACTGTGCATGCATGTCCCATTTTTGGGAGGTGATGCTGGCAAGGAACTGGCAGCTGACTTTCTGGGGCTTTCAGTAATACACTCGGAATCCCATGGAGATTCTGTACCCCCGTCCTCGTCTTCTTTATGCACACCTACTACTGCTGTAACATTCCTAATGGCACCATCTTGTGAAGAATTCCAATTTTGAGAACTTTCATTACAAGGCATTTTTTTATCCACCACATCTGAAATTTTCCCGTCTTCTTCTGAAGATTCCTCCTGCTTAGAGCTCAAGTGAGCCACCATCTGGGAGCATTTGGAAAAGTAGCCAGGTGAGGAATGGCTAGGCTGAGGGAAGGATTTGACTTGGAACAAAGGCTTAGGAAGGGATTCATTGCCATCTCCAGCTTCACAATCTGATTTACTTTCTATATGTTCTGTTCTCATAATGCCACTTTTCATATCTAAGCTTTTCTTCAATTGCTGAGAAATTAGGTGAGCCAAACTTGGTTTTTGTAATTTCTTAGGGCTGAAGTCCAATTCTTCCTCTTCTGAAGATTGCCATGTGTCATCATACGTTTGTCCTGTATCTCTTACTGGGTCTCCAGAAGAATGGTCGTCTATAACTTCTCTATTGGTAGCAGGAGCACCCAGGGTTATAGCAGCATTTTTCATTTTGCCTGAACCACTCAATATAGACAGAACATTTGGCTCATCAAGAGACTCCTCTTCTTTATCTCTCTGCCTGGAATAGTCAGCTATATTTTGAAGAAGAAAAGGATCATCACTAAGCAGAGCATAATCCCATGCTGACCATCCACTTTCATCTTTATGGGAAACATCTGACCCATGAAAGAGGAGAATATTTGTTAAATCACGTTTTTTAGCAATCAGCAACGGAGTTCTTCCTGACTTATTAGTGGCATGCACAGATGCTCCTTTTTTTAGAAGAAAATCTGCCATTTCTCGATTATTTTCAGTTACAGCCACAATCAAAGGTGTGTTCCCATCCTTATTCTGTGCTTCAACATTGGCTTTATGTTCAAGGAGATGCCTTGCTATTGATATGCTAGAATTAAAGGCAGCAAAGTGGAGGGCAGTGTTATTGTATGCATCCACAAGATTAGGATCTGCTCCAAACTCAAGCAGGTAAAGTGCAGATATTTCTTGCTGGCACTGCACAGCCTTCATTAATGGAGATCTCTTATCACTGTCGTAGAGATCTAGCTGGCATTTGTTATCTATTAAGAAAATAACAACATCTATATGTCCATTGGCGCAAGCAAAATGCAAAGGTGTTCTGTCACTTTTGTCCCTCTCGATGGGGTAGTGCCGCTTCTGCAGGCGGTGCCGCACTTCAGCCATGTCTCCTTCGGCGGCAGCCCGGTGAAGCCTGGGCAGCAATTTGCTCCGGACCTTATAGGTGCCTCCTGCGAGGCCCAGACCTGACCCCGCCCCGCCTGTTCCAGAAGAAAGGGCTCCGGTGGCTCCCTCCATTTCCTCCCCAGCCCCAGCATCTTCTTTATCTTCTTCATCCTCCCCCTCCTCTTCTTTCTCCCTCAGCCAGGGGCAAAAGTGTCCCTCCTGCCAGGAGAGGGTGGTATGGGCCCGAGGGAAGGAGGAAGGAGAGGCTCCGCTCCCTCCGGCGGCGGGGCTCCTCGGATGTTGTATTTTATAAGGCCATGGATGGCCAAGGGACCTTGGGAGTTGTAGTTTTATAAGGCTATGGATGGCCAAGGGACCTTGGGAGTTGTAGTTTTATAAGCTTATTGTGCCTATTTAAGTAAATAAACATATTTTCCTGTTTGAACCAACTAAACCTTTCCGTGTGCCTCCCATACATACATTACATTAAAGGAGGTGGCCTGTTGAAGTAATATTGGTGGCAGCAAATATTGAACATTAATAAAGGGGCCAGTGTCATCTACATTGTGGGATATCCTATAATTGGTGGGATATCTCTGATTGAGTGGGCCTTTTGTGTTACGAGCAGCTCCTTTTGAACAATGATTGTCTATTCTGAGCACAGCCTTTGCATTTCTTTCTTTTTTACACACAGTTTTACAGATTCTCTGTACCTTATCCCTCCAGGTTTTTACAACAATCCAGTTCATCCCTTGTGTAGTCCACCAGCATGAATGCAAGCTAAAGCATTCCCATCAGCAATGTACAGCTATTGCTTCTGGCATGGCTGTTGCTTCTAATCTGTATTTCTGTGCTCTCATCTTCCTTCAGCAGAAATTCTGCTGCTGCCTGCTGACTTCAGTCTGCATTTGGCTATTTGTAGGAGATGTTCTCAGCACGCACTCTAATGATAGCTTTTTGCTCCAGCTTCTTACTGTTTCTAGCACTGATTCACTTTAAATTTCATTTGCCATCCCTGCTCTTTTATTTATTGTACTTACACATAGCTTAAACCATGCATGCCAACTAACCAGTTCATTATAACTTTCTTATATGCTCTTTCATCTTCAGTTCCTCCCTAGCACATAAAATAAATGATATTGTTTTCTTAATGTGTCAAGAGCTTGACATTTGCTGAAAGCATCTCAGTACCAAACTCACCACCTTAAAAAAATGGGAGAGATCTTGCAGAGATGGGCAAAGTGGTGACGCAGCTTAAAGATAAATCACTGACATGGTTTTGAAAATATTAGAGTGTAATAATTACTAAACTGAAATATCACTGGGGGGGGGGGGGGGTAGTATTAGGTGTCAAATAATAGTAGAATTTTCTATTACAATATGCAACATGGTTTTTGTTCCTAGGTTATACATGCCATTCCCTAATTGGTTCTATCATAAAAATGTGGAAAAAGTTTATTAAACTGCAAAAACATGATGTTTGCAGGACATCCTGCAGCCCATTTTGCTGTAGTTTTTCAATGAATATCTCATAGAGTCTCAACCACTTCACCATAGTTTATAGCAGCCACAAAAATGAAATTTCTGGAGTGTACCAAGTACTTTCAAAGTAAGTTCCGTACCCTTAAACAGAAAATAACACTTTCAAACAAGAAACATTTTTTTCAAATTTTGTTATATAGTGCTATTGTAGAAGCTAACTATAATGTCACTAGAGGGAGTAGATATGCTTAATCAATATAACTATTAGTTGAGAAATTGGAAGTAATTGTTAATTTGTTTTTGTATCTTTAATTCTTTTCCCTCTTGTTATCTTCTATTTTTGTAATTCTGTATTTTTTTCACATGTATTGTTTTCATATGTGTATATATATATATATATATATATATATATATATATATATATATATAATATAGTTAATAAATAAACGCATGTAAAAATTGGAAGATATTGTAGGAATCTGACTTGTAACATGCCAAAGTACCAGCCAGAACATGGAACCTTTTGATTGACTTTGGCACAACAAACAGAACATAGAAAATGGCGGAGTAGCTGGAGCCACATCTTTTTTACTCGCTAATCATCGAACAGCACAATTAAAGAGGAATACTGACAACAGACTGATAAGTCACTGCCAAATCACTCTTATCTCAGAGGGAGTTTTGAACTTAACTGTTGTTGTTGTTGTTGTTCATTCGTTCAGTCATCTCCGACTTCGTGACCAGCCCACACCAGAGCTCCCTGTCGGCCGTCACCACCCCCAGCTACTTCAAGGTCAGTCCAGTCACTTCAAGGATGCCATCCATCCATCTTGCCCTTGGTCGGCCCCTCTTCCTTTTACCTTCCACTTTCCCCAGCATAATTGTCTTCTCTAGGCTTTGCTGTCTCCTCATGATGTGGCCAAAATACTTCAACTTTGTCTCTAGTATCCTTCCCTCCAATGAGCAGTCGGGCTTTATTTCCTGGAGGATGGACTGGTTGGATCTTCTCACAGTCCAAGGCACTCTCAGAACTTTCCTCCAGCACCACAGTTCAAAAGCATCTATCTTCCTTCGCTCAGCCTTCCCTTAACTAGCAACACTCTATTCATCAACCTGAAGAGAAATAAAAGAAGGGTGAGAAAACAAGCTGACCTGTTTAGCTTTCTATGACTTCTGGAAGCTGAAGCAGCATTTGTCCTATAATTTGTCCTATAATTGTTGTAGTAGTTTCTGCAAAGCACTACTCTACTGCTGTTATTCTACTACTGGGTGGAAAGCTGTGATTTCCCCTCCCTGCCTGCATTCCCAGCCCTGTGGCTGCAGCTTAGAACGCTGCCATTTGTTTGTTGTGAGAGCTACCCTGTGCTGAGAAGGAGTTGAAATAAAAGCAAAAGTAAACGGAATAAGAAGGAGAAGGTGCAAGAAACAAGTATAATAAACTAAGACAGTGACTGAAGTTCAAGGGTACATTCAGCTGACTTCTCACTGAAGAAGCAATTGACATAAAAAGTTGCCGGTCAGTGAAAGTACCACATCAATTACTGGAGATTACTCCATATATCTTTGTCCAAATACCAAAGTGCACTAATTCTAATTCACTGAAAATTGAAAAAATACTTTAAAAACCAAATGTAGTACAGTAGTTGTGTGCATACCTGTGTACAGCATGATCAACCGTAATGTAATGTCAAATAAGTTATTTTAAAAGCTTTTATCAGCACTGCTCCAAATGAGAGCTTTCAGTCAGATTTACTTGATGAACTGTTTGTATTCAGTTCCTCGGCCCAGTGCACATCATAGCTCATGACAAATCTCAGCTTGCTGGTAAAATAATTGTCATGCGGTCACATTGAGCTAAACACAGCTTCTCAACATAGTCTACCTCATAGGATTTAGTTTAAAGGTGAGATGGAGTGAACATTATGTAAAATAATTTTAGCACAATCTGTCATAAATATATGCATTTCAAAAGCCTTTTAAATTGTTTTAGGATAATTCCTGTACATAATTACCCAGGAGTAAGTCCCCCTGTATTCATTGACATTCACTTATGAGTAGATGTGTATCATGAATAAAAATTAAGCAAATCCCAATATTCTATCCTCTCTTCTATCTATTTTTAAATGATCTGAACAAAATCATGTTATGATAGGGCCTCTACTGTGAAAAAGGATACACATAGGCAGCCCCTTGTAGCAAAGGGATTTGGCATAGGGGTACACTTATTTACTAATTTTCTTCTCTAATTAATTAATAAGTAATTTAGCACTTTTCTCTTTACTATAAGGAAGTCTTTGGAACCTACATAGTTTTGAAGGGCTGCAGTTTTGGACCTAGTCTGCTGAAAATTCACATATGAATTTTTCTGTATTTTTGTTGCAGGAAACACCATTCTCTGCACATATATGTCTATACCAATCCCTAACTATTTCATGTCAACTATTGGGGAGTTTATTATCAGCAGCCTCCATTTTCATGTTTGAAACCAAGCTTTCCATCAAGAGCAGGATTTATAAAAGACAACTTTGGGAACATCACAAACATCAGTATGAATAGGACACTGCTGCTATTCAATTTCATTAGTTATCTTTTCATATTACAAAGATACACCTATTAAACATACTGAAACTTGTCTCCAGGCACTCATGACAAGAATATGCTATGCTGAAGATTAAATGTGATGAATGCTTAGCTCAGCAAGGTGGTTTGCTTTTGAAATTCAGCCTGCAACTGAATAATAATAATAATAATAATAATAATAATAATAATAATCTTTATTTATACCCCACCACCATCTCCCCAAAGGGGACTCAGGGTGGCTTACATGAGTCCAAGCCCAAAAATACAATTACAATAGAATGAATACAACACAGCAAAACTGAAGAGTTTGTGGGTTTTATACTTTGATTTTCTCTTTTAAATTACATCATTTACTCATGTTTACCTTGCAAATTTTAGTCTGAAACACATTTGGGGCAAAATGCCATTGAACATCGTTGACTGTTGACATTCCCAGCAGTGGGCAGTTGGTTAAATCCAAACTTGGTTTTAGCCCAAACTTGAAAGTAGGCATCCAAGAAAATGAGCCTATTATCTAAAACTTGGCCTGGATTCCTCACCCTGGTGACCTGGAAGCCAACAAGTAACACTGTCAACAAGGAACTTTCAAAAGGAAAACAAATAGCATGCGATAATATCAACATTTCTCTCTCTTTTTTCCAATGAAAATAGGTCTCTCTTGAAGGTACTTTAGAAAAGAAAAGGAGATGTTGAGACTTGATTAAAGATGTCTGTAAGGTAATAGATTCTTTACCTCATGATTTCCATCTTAGACCAATAGTAAAAGCTCAAGAGAGACATTAAAACAGAAAGTGGATTAACCCATCTGGAATACAACTCTCCCTGGAATATGTAGCAGCCAAATTGGCCTGGATGTGATTCCCACACAAAGGAGAAATCTACCTCTTTGTAGCTATTGGCAGAACATTTCCTGCAGAGGAGCATTTTAATCTATCAGAATAGTTTAAGAGAAATGGCAAGCTCCAGCAAAAGCTGGGAGGTGAACATGGAGGCATTGCTATTTTTCTTACTCCTTAATGTATAATATATTGTCAAAAGCATGTGAAAGTTTTGCTTCAAGGTTCCAATTCACTGATCAGATGTATGAATTTGGAAGTTGAAGAGTGGAAACTGCAGAACCCTACATGCTTC